CTGTCATTAACCATGTGTTTAACACTGAGTCTCTGAATATTAAATCAGTTTGACCTCTGAAGGACAGGAACAGAGTGGATGTCATTTATTCTGCTATTAAATGTTTGTCCGCAAAACGAACAGCTGTCAAAGTACAGGGCACAACTTTTTACTTACTTTCACAATTTTAACATCACCCCTACTCAGATCATAGAATTATAGAATAGTTAGGGTTGGAAAGGACCTTAAGACAATTTTTTTTTGCCAGTAGTTTTGTGCTGCTGTTGTGGGTTTGAAGCAGTGTCGGGGAGAGAACTCTCTATAGGACTCTGCCACTCCATGCTTATGCCTTAAACAGTTGAGTGCAACTCAATGTGGTGGTAAGAAAATGAGCAGTTAATGTTGTTCAAGTGTTAATTGTGCCAAAAATTTAAAGTGTATTTTCAGAGGCTTAGTCCATCAGTACTAAGAGTATGTAATTCATTTGTTTGTGTGATTTCTCTGAATGGCTGACAGAAATCTGCCTGATTGCTCAGGAGTAGGCTTAATGGCTTATGATCGGACACTGGTGTTGGTTTTTCTTCTGTACAAAGAAACAGCAGAAAATCAGGTTACGTGGAAAGTCTTGTTTGTAACTCCCCTCAAACCTGGCAAATGTTTCTTGATTTCCGTTGGGCCTCTGGTGCTGTTGAAGCCAATGGCACTGGCCTGCAGCTGGCATAGGAAATTGAGGTAAAATACCATTGTTCTGCTCCAGTGCAGCGATAGCAGGAGTGGAAGATGTCATTGTAAGAGAAATAAATGTGTACATCTGCTTTTTCTGTAGATCCCTGCAGGAAGGTAAGATGCCTTCTGTGTTATAAGCAGTATTTAAATTCTATAGACTGGCACAGGCATTGCAGAGATGCACAATTGTCTGTAATTGGGCATAATTAAAAAAAAAAAAAAGAAATTCCAGTACTTTATGAAGATGGTTTTGCAGTGATATTGCAGAACTGAAGGGATAGTCAGACCCTAATTAGACCCTTCGTTTTAATACTGCTCAATGAGCCAAATCCTCTATGCTTCCCATGCAACCTGTTTGAATAATATGACATCCCGATAAAAGCTGAATAATTATTGAAATTCAAAAGCATTAAGTCTTAAATCAGCAGGAGCAAAATACGTATTTGTGATACATATAATAGAAAGCACCGTGCAGGGGGTCACCAAAACACATACCATGTCTGGAATTGTAAGAGAGCTGGATATGGCACTGACTGCTAATAACACATATGAGCTATTCAGGAGAACGGTAATCAGTGCTTCAGGTCACTCAGCTCAGCTGGTCGCAAATATATTATCTCCTGCAAAAGCTCCTCTCTTCCTGCCTTACAATATCACACTGTTGTTCTAGTGTATTACAAAAGCTTTTGCTCGTTTGGAAACATAAATTACTACCTTCTAGGCTGCCAGAGGTACAGTATACCATCAGCCAGAAGAATCAGTGTGAAGCCATGCATTTGGGGATCCGTCATGTTGCTTTCTTGCTTTTGCCAAGGACATTTAATTTTTTCTGCATACCTTACTTAACTGTGGCCCGCCACAGCCTGGAATGGGGAGAGCAATTTCTGTGTGGATTTCTTCATTTTCTGGGTCTGGTGCTTTTTTAATCTTGCTGGTTCTTTCCCTCGCAAAACCAGGTGCTTGCACTGAAATGTGTCATTTCTGCTCCTTAGAGCCCTGACAGCCACATGGTGATAACGTTTGCCTTTAACCTTAACTTGTTATGAGGTAGACTCAAAGCCCAAATAAAAAAGACTGTTAAAGTTTGGAAACATTCATTTTGGGAGCTGCAGTTGGCTCCGGATGTGTGCCTCCCTGCACGGCAAAGTGCAGATCTACATGTCTAGTCAATGCATTTGCAGTCTTAGCCTGAAATCATTCTTCCATTGAGCTTGCAGTTTCCCATCCAAATGAATGAGACTTTTGAATGCAAAGGGATTTGCAGTCCCAGCACCGGAGGACAGTCATTTGGCAACTGCCTCAGTCTGGAAGAGGCCAGGGTGAACTCTGTGCAAGTAAAAACAAAATGCATGTGCATACCTTTGCATTCCTGTCTCGCTTCTCTGAGCAGAGATCTCTCAGCTGTCAAAACCATACTGTTTTGCTGGCAAGTTCTTGCTTCTCCCTCAGTGATATTTTATGAGGCCTGCCTTCTCCTACAGTCTTGGAGAAGAGGCCCTGCAGAAATAGCAAACCCCAAGGCTGGGAGTGCAGAAACTGTTTGGTGCCCCATGATGCTGTAAGAAGAAAGAGTCTGTGCACAACTGCAGGGGACTTTTGGATGATGGCTCCAAGGCCTCTTGCAGGAGGTTGTTAGCTGCAGAAACTGTTACTGAGCATTTAGCAATTAGTAAGTGCATTAAATTTATTTATTCTGACTGCAAAGGTCTTTGTCCAAAGGGATGCAGCCTCTTCAGCAGCATTATTATGCATGGTGAATAATTCACATAAAAATATCCAGCAAGTTATGGGGTTGGGCTTTTTAAATAGTGCTTAGGTATTTTTAACTTGTTAACATGCGAGTCTTTGGGATCTTGTAAATCATATGACAGTATTTAATTTTATTTTTTCCCAATTCCTACTGAAGGTTGTTTCTCCGAAACATAAGCAGGACTCTACAAAAACCTAACAATGTGCTTCATTTAACTACTCTAAATTGTCTGTTTGTGTCATAAGGGAATATATTAATGTCTGAAGACAATATTCTCCTGCTTAAAGTAGGGATCTCTATTTTACAGGATTTTGGTGAAATATATGAAGATGTATATTCTATAAAGTTTCTCTCTAGAGTTTTTATTCTATACATAAATCTGTATCAGTCATATTTCAGTGTATGGGTATTTCATTTTGCTTTATGAAACCAGTCCAAGGCTGCTGCTGACAAGTATCTCAAAAAGTTCATTTTGGGGCTTGATATGTCCCAAGTGTTGTTTTTTTTTTTCTTCTGAAAGACTTTTGTAAAGTTAAAATTTATATGTATTTTGTTCAGCTTGTCTGCATATTATCCAGTGTATATCAGAAGAAGGGCTTTATCTATACATATATGTAAAATGTTCACATACTAAAGTAAATTAATAAAGCTTCCTTTTCATATGAAAGAGGTGAAGAAAAGTACCTGGCCAATACAGTACCATTAATCTATTCTCTTTTCTCCTTTCTCTCTTTACCTCTCTCTCTACAATAGAAGTGGAACAAAAAGGTAATTAAATACCTTTCAAATTATATATATTACTTATGTATAGGCTGTTATTTAACAGTTTAACGTTTTAGTTGAAATACTTTGTCATTAATTCTCACTACTTTTTTGTTAAAGTTTATTTAGTATCTCTGCTGCTCAACTTCACCAGATAACTCATTTTTGCTGAATTTTTTTTACCAGTGCCACATTTTTTCCATTAAATTTCTGTTCAAAGGTTTAGATAACTCACTCTTTTCCTGCCCCAAAGAATTTGGAAAGTGTGCATACATATGTATGTACATAAGTATATCTAATTATGCCATAAAAGCTTCTTGGAAACAGCACCGCTTTATCAGCAACTCTGGGTGATTACTTAGACTCCAATAGAGCAATATGCTTTCACACCAGTTACTAAATCTTATTTTCCTCCTGTCTCACTCTCCAGAGGATATTACCAATTTCTGCATTTCTGAAAATAATTGGTTACGCTCCAACCAGGGAGCACGAACACAGGATCCCATCTGCCAGCCCTGTGCTACCAGAAGCCTGTGGTGGGATGCCTCTTCATGCCTCCCTGCTGCCCATTCCATCGTCATGGTTATTGTACTACTCATGCTCATGGAGATTAGCATTACAAATAACCAACCACTATTCTCCTCCTGAAGCGTGTGAAGCACCTCAGGTCAGGAGGATGCTACTGGGGATGACAAGGGCTGAGCGAGCCAGTTTTGCTCCACAGCGTCCTTCCTTTTGTCTCCCCGTCCAGCTGGCTGACCTCTTGGCGTTGGCATTCCCACGATGCCAAGGTTAGCTGGGCACCGTCTGAGCCTCCTCCCAGGTGCTGGGCATGCCCTGGCTCCACTCAGCCCCCCTGAAGTCTGAGCAGCAAAGCACTCCGGTTAGTCAAACTGCTCCTCTGTGCTCCTCTCATGTAACAATAGAAGGTATATGTTTTTAAGTTTGAATTACTACTATATTTAACAGGACATTTTTTAACTGATTAAAATCTAGACCTTGGGTTCCTCTCCGGTGAACTTTATTCTTTTCCTTCCTTCTTTCCTTTCTTCCTTCCTTCCTTGTCTTTTCTTTTCAGCATCCATACGTCATTCATTTTTAATTGCGTGGACTGCATGTTTTGTGTGTCCTGTAGCAGCTTTGAAAGCCTCATTTCTAGTTATACTACAGATCTGTAGACGGATGTTTCCCTCCTCCCCACTCTCCCCACTCCCTTTGCTTTAAATGCTCTTCTGAGTTGCTAAGGGATTCGCCTCTGCTTTGCTATTGGTACCCTTTAAATATTTCATATCGCTTGGGCTGTAAAGATGGGAATTTCTCTCTCTTATTTTCATTTCTAGGCCATTTTTCTGTGGATTGTTCAAATAAATATGTGGATCAATTCCTTGGGAGTTTACCCCTTCACCTAGTAGGTACAAATTCACTGCAGAATATAATGGAAATACAAAGCCAGAAATTCTTTGGGGGCACATATTAATTTCAGAGTTTACAAAGGCAAGTGGTCCAAGTAAGTGCACCTGTAAAAACAGATTTGAAAAGCAATAAGAAAATGAGCCACAGGAGATAGAAAAAGCAGGGAGAAAAAAAATCAGTTTGATGGAGCAAATCTTGTTCTAGAGACATGGCCAGTGGGACGGCTAGTCTCCAGCTACAAGGCATTGCTTTTGGGTTTTCTCTGATCTCAAGTATCCTCTGCTCCAGAGCTAGAAGCTGTTGAGATGTTTGAGCCAACCGCTCATTAACTTTGGTTTCTTTTGTTTTAAATTCTTTTCCCCTCCAACAGTTTTTCTTTGCCCTGGACTGCTGAAAGGAGTATACCAGAGCGAACACTTATTTGAATCTGACCACCAATCTGGTGCCTGGTGCAAGGACCCTCTGCAGGCATCTGACAAGATCTACTACATGCCCTGGACACCGTACCGGACGGACACACTGACGGAGTACTCCTCCAAGGATGACTTCATTGCTGGGAGACCAACTACTACCTACAAACTCCCTCACCGGGTGGATGGCACAGGGTTCGTGGTGTATGATGGGGCTTTGTTCTTCAACAAGGAACGAACCAGGAACATAGTCAAGTTTGACTTGCGGACAAGGATAAAAAGCGGGGAGGCTATCATAGCTAATGCAAATTATCATGACACCTCTCCCTACCGCTGGGGAGGCAAGTCTGATATAGACTTGGCTGTGGATGAGAACGGGCTGTGGGTAATCTATGCAACAGAACAAAATAATGGCAAAATAGTCATTAGCCAGTTAAACCCTTACACATTAAGGATTGAAGGGACGTGGGATACTGCCTATGACAAGAGGTCAGCTTCTAACGCCTTCATGATCTGTGGGATTTTGTATGTGGTGAAATCTGTGTATGAAGATGATGACAATGAAGCCACAGGGAATAAAATAGACTACATATATAACACTGACCAAAGCAAGGATAGCATGGTGGATGTACCCTTTCCAAACTCCTACCAGTATATTGCTGCTGTGGATTATAATCCCCGGGACAACCTCCTTTATGTATGGAACAACTATCATGTTGTGAAATATTCCTTGGATTTTGGCCCACTGGACAGCAGAGCAGGTAAGTCCTTTAATACTGAGCCACAATCTGAATCGGGCTTTCTATCTTTCTTGCAAATAGGGTGTAAAATTGAATTAGACTTCTGTCTCACTGATATGTCTACGTTTCTGTAAGTTAAATCCCACCACAATGCCTATTATGGATATTAAGACATTAACATGTGCAGAATATTTTTTTTTAACTTAGTTTGAAATGAAATGGAGAGTTTGCTATGCGTTACCTGTAAACAAGCTGAAACAGTCTTCAAATGTCCATGCTGTTGTTTGCATCACAGGGATAGCAGTCTTTTCTCCTTAACGGAATTATCCTCTGTATATCAGATTGTTTTCCCTTCTGCAGGAATTTTGGCAAAACAAAGCATGGAAGATACTATCACTGCAGACAGGGGAAAAATGCCAGCCAGTTTAAATGACTGCATTCTATTAAGCTGAGCAAGTTCAGGTGTTCAGGGAAGCCAAAGCTAATTGCATATGTGGGCATGCACCCAGTAGTGTGTGTCTAGAGTTGAGTGAGGAATTGAGAACAAAAACTTCCAGATTGTTGGGTTATTTAAAATTTCTCTTTCTTTTTCAAAGCATTTGATGGCTTACTATGACTCACTATACTTTCTGTAAGAGAACGTTCCCTAGAGGATTCCCAGCTTTTCCACCCTTTTTCCTGTTAGAAATTATGCTGGTAATTGCTTAGTTCAGTTATATTCCTTTATCTTCACCAACTTCTTCATTGTTTTGCCAGTATTATGTTCACAGTTGGCATTGTATTAGTAACATGACTTAATCTATATTCTGGTCAAATTCATATGACAGTACAAGAATTTCTAAACAGCATTTGCTCAGTTATCAGGTAGTTTCTATGCTGGACTGTGCACTTCAGAAAAGCTGAAGAAGTAAGAGGAAATGAAGAATTAAGGTCATTTGTACCGTAAGCTGTTTGGTTCTTAATGACAATTCCCAAAACATTCTTTTTGTTCATCCAGAAACTCAGAAGTGGATGAATCGATTCAGGGCTTCAAGTTGCAAAAGAGAAGTTGAGAGGTTTCTGTTGCTGAATTTTATTTTTTTTTTTCCTGTGTGCAGCCTGTTATGTGTATAAAAATGGATCAAGAGATGCTGAAAGAAACTGTGGATATGAAATCCAGGGGAGAGGTGGAATAAAAGTAATAAAATGGCAGTGACTTTCTCATTTTTATGCAAAAATGTGAGGAAGAAGAGAAGGAAATCTTGAAGAGGCAGATGAACAAAACTGTGTGAGTGTTAAGAGAAGAGCAGGGACATTTTCAATGATGTTGACCTCTTCAAGATCTCAAATGAGCAAAAAATGAAGTAATACTCATTCTCCCAACTTAATGATGAGCATGTACTTTCTGAGTACTGGAGTGAAGCAGAGCAATTTGTGAGCTATCCCTGAGGAGTGAAAATCAATTGCATCCCTTCTATTTCATGGAGTTTCTCTCATTTTCAGTGAAATATTTCTAGGTATTACATCAGAATCTCCACTGCTGCTTTTTCCTGTGGTGACTCTTGTCAGTAATATCCTCTTTAAGATAAAAAAAGAAAAAAGCCATAATTGGTGAAAACCCCGAATTTTATGCTTTCCTGTAAAAAAGGAAATGTTTTTCCCCCTTTTCCCAGTCTAAGCTGGTTTGATGGGAAAGCAGGTGAAAACCTGGAAGAGGGCTGAATGTGCAAGGTCTGTGATGTGCAAGGATTTGATTTGTCACTGTTTGAAGCCCCTGCATTTCATTCATGTTTGGATGAGAATTTAAAATCCCCCAGTGCCTCAGATGGAAAGCTGAAGCTGTTTTTGGCTTTGAGTGGTGGACATAAGGGGGTTAATCTGGTGTCAGAGAATCTGGTTAGCCTTCTCTGATGTTTCTTTCATGCAATTTTTGATAGCTTTGTAATGTGGGGACAAAGCTGAATTCTACATGCATTTCTCTTCTCTGAAAATTGCCAAGATTTCCTTTTTGGCAGAAATTTATAAGGATCCCATTACCTCACTATTTTATGGGTTTAGAGGACTTTTGAGAGGACTGCTCTGAGAGCAAGTGAATTTTTTGATGAGACATCTCAAATGGGCCAAGGTATTTCGAAGTGAAGAAAAATACCTTTACAAAGGGAGTTTATTGCTCCATTACCTTCACAGCCTGATTAGGGGGAACGTTATGAGTCAGTCAAACAGGAACACTGATTTTGAATTGTATAAGTGAACAACGCCTGTTTGATTGTAGTTGGGTGTTTGTTTTGGGGTTTTGTATTTTGTTTTTTTGTTGGTTTCATTTCTTTCAGAAAGGAGCCAGGAGACCAGGTCTGTGTGACTCTTTCTTTTCCAAGTTCAGTGCAACACATTTTCTGGTTAGCACCAAATTTCATGCTGCATTGACTTCTATATAATTCTAAATGCATGGCTGGCATAAGCCCAGCTCATGCACCAAAGAGCAGAACAGGAGCCAATGAAACACTGGGAAAGCAGTGAAGGACCAGGATATTTTATTTAGTTATTTATTTAGTTATTTTTTTATAGAGTGGAGTGTGGGTATGTGTTTCCCCTCTCCCCTTCCAGAAGTTGCCAGTGTTTGTTTAGAGCATGGCAATGTTCAGTGTGGCCATTTTCCATAGGGTTACAGTTTGAGTAGTAAAATATATAAAAAAATATTCGCTTAATTAGAAAATAAAAGATTATAAAATTGATAGGTTGAACAAATTGGTTGTTAAAAGACAATTAAGTGTGAAGTTTTAGGAGAAGAGCTCTAAAAACCAAACATTGATCTTAACAAAAGAAGTAATATATTTTTCTATCTAAATAGGCAGTAACATGTTTGAAACATTTTTCAAATCTCAAGTATCATACATTTCAGGGCTATCTAAAATAAAAAGAAAAACAGGTGCTGGGGGCTCCAGTTCACTTAGAATCAAGCATTTTCAGTCATTTTCCAAACTATCCAGGGAAAATGGAAGGAAGCAGAAATCACTTAGCTTATAGGAAGGGCAGGGATCCCATCCTCTTGCTCTTCATAGTAATGAAACATTTTCTGTGAGTTTTAATTAAAGGTCTGTTTGTGTGTGTAGGTTTGGAACATATTTGCAACCTGCGCTATCTCAGAATTTCTCTCACCCACTGTTTAAAAAAGTCAGCTTTTACTGCTCAGAGTAAGTGAGTGTCAAACCCTGGAGTTTCTGTGCTCAGCTTCTGTAGCAGCTGAAGGTACCAGGGAAGACAAAATATTCTGAAGTCGTAAGTGAAGCACAATGCTGGAGTCAACTGACCTAAAAGCAATTTAGCTCTCTTGACTGAATTAAAAGTAATTGTTCATTTTTCTCAGAAATGGGAAAAGCTGCATTTTAAGGATTTGACACGCTCTCTTTTTTTTTTCTTTCTCTTGTCTGAGGTTGTTTTCATTTATCCCAAAGCCAGTTTTGAAAGCAAGCAGTCCTCAGTGCCTGCAAATTCCAGGAAACCTGTCATTAATGTCTACCTTCAAGTGAACCTGAAGGTACCAAAAGCTTTCAAAGCATATTTTCTTTGTTTATGCTGTTTGGCCTTAAAAGTAGGGTTTTTTTGAGGATGCTTTTCCATAAATACTCCTGAGCTTTTGTGCTATTTCTTTGTAGATGCTTTTGAGTTTCATAGAACTGAAGAATAGTCAGGGTTGAATGGACTTTAAAGATCATCTAGTTCCAACTCCCCTGCCATAATCAGGGACACCTACCATTAGACCAGATTGCTCCAATCCCCATCCATCCTGGCCTTAATAAACACTTCCAGGGATGGGACAGCCACAACTTCTCTGGGCAACCTGTGTCAGTGCCACACTGCCCTCTGAGTAAATAATTTATTCCTAATATCTGATCTAAACCTACCCTATTTCAGTTCAAAACCATTCCCCCTTGTCCTATCACTATATATCCTTGATTCCAGATTTCATGTAGGCCTTCTTTAATTACTGAAAGGCTTCCCTAAGGTCTCCCTGGAGTTTTCTCTTGTCCAGGCTGAACAAGCCCAACTCTCTCTGCCTATCTTCATAGGAGAGGTGCTCCAGCCCTCTGATCATCTTCATGGCCTCCTCTGGATTTGCTCAAGCAGGTCTATGTCCCTCTTGTGTCTTGGAGATGCCACTGCTGAATGCAGAACTCCAGGTAGGGTCTTGCAAGAGCAGAGGGGGACAATCACCTCCCTCGACCTCCTGGCCATGCTCCTTTTCATGCAGCCCAGCATACAGCTGTCAGCCAACACCCCCAATTCCTTCTCAGGGCTGCTCTCAATTCAGTCACTGCCCAGCCTGTAGCTGTGCCTGGGATTGCCCCAACCCAGGTGCAGGACTTGCACTTGGCCTTGTTGTACTTCATGAAGTTCACACAGGCCCACCTCTCGAGCCTGTCAAAGGTCCTTCTGGATGGCATCCCTTCCCTCCAGCATGTTGACTGCATCACATAGCTTGGTGTCATTTCCAAACTTGCTGAGGGTGCACTCAATCCCACTGTCCATGTCACTGACAAAACAGTGCCAGTCCCAACACCGACCCCCGAGAGACACCATCATCACTGGTCTCCACCTTGGTCATTGAGCTGTTGACCACAACTCTCTGAGTGTAACCGTCCAGCCAGTTCCTTATCCACTGTGTGGTCCATCATCCATCATCAAATCCACGTGTCTTCAATTTGTAGACAAGGGCGCCATGCAGGACAGTGTCAAACACTTTGCACAAGTCCACGTAGATGGTGTCAGTTGCTCTTTCCTTATCAAAGTCCCATCATAGAAGGCCATCACATTTGTCAGGCATGATTTGCCCTTAGTGAAGCCATGTTGGCTGTCACCAGTCATCCCCTTACTGTCCATGTGCCTTAGCATAATTTCCAGGAGGATCTCCTTCATGATCTTGCCAGGCACCAAGGTGGAACTGACTGACATGTATTTCCCTGGGTCTTCCTTTTCTCCCTTTATAAAAATGGGGCGAAAGATTTGCAAATGGTTTGCTAATTTGAAGTGATAGTGAGAATAGC